TGAATAACACTAAATTTTCGTTTGAATATACACTGGAACAAACATTTTGTATTAGTTCCATGATACAGAGTTATGGTATTATGTTACTGAGCTATCAAGCAGGTTTTAAAGAGTCTCTGAATCACACTTCCTTATTGTTGCAATTTTGTGACACATTAGTAGTAGTAGTAGTAATGATTTTATTCGTTGTTTTTCAAACAACATGTAGTAGCATGACTTGGGGTGGCTATGACTAGGTGGAGAGGGTGGTGGTGATGATGATGTTGTTTTACAAAGGCAGCCCTTAGTACAGTGGTACCCTCAGGTTAAGTACTTAATTCGTTCTGGAGGTCCGTTCTTAACCTGAAACTGTTCTTAAACTGAGGTATCACTTTAGCTAATGGGGCCTCCCGCTGCCGCCGTGCGATTTCTGTTCTCATCCTGAAGCAAAGTTCTTAACCTGAAGCACTATTTCTGGGTTAGCGGAGTCTGTAACCTGAATCATATGTAACCTGAGGTACCACTGTATACCGCTCCAGGAAACTTAAGAGAAGTGTGGAGTCTGAAGATAACTGTATTCTGATCTGTGCTTTAGTCTGGGAACATGCACAGATACGACCCACGCAGCGCCTCTGCTTGGCTCCACTGCCTGTCTCCTTAACAGTTATTGCCTCCTGCTGTTGCTGTTTATGCTGCTATGACTTCCTCCTCACATCTGGCCTCTCCTGCAGACTGTGAATTAAGGATGCCAGTGATTGATTACCTGCCTGGAGGCCAGCATTTCCAGGTGGGCTACCTTCACTTCCTGTAAAAGGAAACAAGAATAGGCTGCTGACATTTCTCAACCTGCATGTGGTTTGGAGTAGTCCAGCTGCCGCTGGGTGGGGGCCATTGTTTGTTGTGGGTTTCGGGATCACGTAGTGATAGTATAATGAAATCATAAGAGCGTGGTCAGACCTCCTCTGGCCTTTAGCAAAACTTGAAATGTAAAATATAAAACTTAGCAAGAAACCTAAAGTTGTTGACACGGGCCTCGTTTGCACTGTACATTTTAAGCTCTCTTGTACCACTTTAAGACATGGACCCCCCCCCCCCGCCAAATCCTGGGAACTGTAGTTTTTAAAGCGTGGGATTGATTGGTAAATCACTCTGGCCCCCGAGGCTTATACACCAAAATTACTTGAGAAGAACAAGAAGCCAACAGGGATTGCATATTATCACTGGAAACAATCCAGCATCATTAGGCAACCAATAGCCATACAGTGGCACCTCGGGTTACATACGCTTCAGGTTACATACGCTTCAGGTTACACACTCTGCTAACCCAGAAATAGTGCTTCAGGTTAAGAACTTTGCTTCAGGTTGAGAACAGAAATCATGCTCCGGCGGCACGGCTGCAGCAGGACGCCCCATTAGCTAAAGTGGTGCATCAGGTTAAGAACAGTTTCAGGTTAAGTACAGACCTCTGGAACGATTTAAGTACTTAACCCGAGGTACCACTGTAAGTCATTGTCAGATGTGAGTGAAGTAAGTGAGTGGACTAATTAATGTAATGAAAAGGCTGTGTCACTGCTTGATGGTATCACATATGCAAATATATTTTGTTACAAAAGACTTGTCATACAAATGGTTTGGGAGTGTTGGAGTGTTAATCCTCTCTTTCCCTCGAGGAGATGTATGTAAACAAGAGACTTATGGTGCAATCCTATATGTGCCAACCCAGAAATAAGCCCTGTTGAATTCAGTGTTCACCTAGGCAATTGCAGCCACAGCCTCTTTTCTACTAGGGCCACCTTCACACAATATATTTAAAGTGTTATGGTACCGCTTTAAACAGTCATAGCTTTCCCTACCTAATTTTCTGGAAAATGAGGTTTGTTAAGGGTGCTGAGAGTTGTTAGGAGACCCCGGATCACCACACAGAGATAAAATTCTCAGGGTGGCTTAACAAGCAATCCTTCTTCCCAGGGAATTCTGGGAATTGTGGCTCTGTGAGGGGAACTTGCATTGTCAAATGTTCCACTGAACCAGTAGTGCCTGCGCATGACCAAAGTTGGAATTGACTAGGGACGCTAACCCAAACTGGTTCTCAAGAGTTATCTTCAGAATCTTAGGTCCCTTGTAATGTTAAGAATTAGTGTAACTATCAACGCTGACTGGCTTTTTTCTTTTTTTGACATTTTGTTTACATGAGGCATTTGTACAAACCAAGTCATGCAGCGGAACACAGGACTATGGGAAGAGGGTTCAGAGGGTTCAGAGGTGTGCAAAACCTTTGGGTGATTGTTTGGACAATCCTTTACATGCCCATATCTGTATCTGAAATAACAATCTGTTGGTTTATAGATCTTAAGAGCCTTAACTGGAATATCTAGCTCAAGCCGGCTGAGCTGCATAACTGATTGGTGAGGGTGCGGTCATCTCTTTCAGAAGAATACAATTAGTGCATTTTCTGCAGTATGTGTGCGAAGGGGCAGCTTAGTCTTTATGTGTGCTGTAGAAACAGATTGTAAAAGGGGCGGTTTTCGTGTTCCTCACGTATTTCCCCTCTTGCACAGTGTTATATTGCCTTCTGTGGGTTTTGATATCTTTGTTTCTTTCTGTTTGTTATCTGTGAATTGTATTCTGTGCATAATTTCTCCTTGACCCAAATCCAAGGACAGCACCAGACTTCACTGAGGCCTTGGTATGATGCCACCAATGGCTTCCAACTTCTGCAACACACTCGCCTCAACACACAACGCCGCGGCCTCTGCCTCTGCCATGATAGTAGCAGCCACTTCACTTGCCACCCTGCTTGCTGTGCCTCTGGGAAGTGTTTGGGAACTGGGCAAGTAGCATGTCACTTTTGAATGGCAGCCAAATTTTACTCCCCTCCATAGAGGCCACCTGCCATTTTAATTGATTTCAATACACTATGCCATGAACCACAGATCTGTGAAATTTCATAGGTCTATGGCAGCGGTCAGCAAACTTTCTCAGCAAGGGGCCGGTCCACTGTCCCTCAGACCTTGTGGGGGGCTGGACTATATTTTGAAGAAAAAATATGAACGAATTCCTATGCCCCACAAATAACCCAGAGATGTATTTTAAATAAAAGGACACATTCTACTCATGTAAGAACACGCTGATTCCCAGACTGCCTGCAGGCCGGATTTAGAAGGTGATTGGGCCGGATCCAGCCCCCAGGCCTTAGTTTGCCTACCCATGGTCTATGGAGTGAGTAAATGAAACTGGAAACCGTGCTTGGCTCCCATGCAATAATGGCATCACCATCCAGACAGCACTTAAATGGTTTTTCATGGGTTCTGTCCAGAAGTTAATTGCCTTTCTTTTTGTATGCACATTACTTTCCATCACATATAAAAGCAGCTTCAGATTCTAAAAAAAAGGATGTCCAAACACACCCAGATTCTCTAGTTTGGGAGATTCAAAAGGGGGAGGGAAGCCTTAAAAATAATAGGCTATCACACTGAAGGTCTCAATGGTTAATCTGGACAATTTCTGGTCTTATGTGGTCATATCTACTCAGTGTAGACCCATGAAAATTAATAACCATGTCACACACATTTGTTTGCATGGGTCTACTCTTGAGTACGACTATCATTGCATACAACCACTGATTTTGGCACTGGCAGGGCTGTTGGAGCTAAGCTGAATTTGGAATCTCTCCTGAGGAGCTGGAAACATAAATAAAGCACACACAGAAAAGAGAAACACTCTAACAAAGGCTAGAAGCACATCTAATTCATTTCTCTCCAAGAGCACGACAGTTTGCATGAACCACTTGATGACCCGTAACTGTGTTTCGTTCTTTTCTTTACCTCCCCCTGTCTCCGCTAGGAAGTAAAAATAGTTAAATGTCAGGTGGAGAGCTTGAGATTTATGGTGGGAATGTGGCTGTGAGGAAGGTGTTTGTCCCCCTCTCCAGCATTTAGCTATCATGAAAGCTAACCAAAATCTGTGTTCACAGTAGTGTGAGCAAGACAGTACGTGGGATGGCATCTCACACACCTTGGGGTGTCCTCACTGCAAGTGCAATGTTATAGGCAATTCCATCTGACCTAGACAAGCAATATTTCACCTTAGCAGAACAACCTCCCTCTCTCTCTCTCTCTCTCTCTCTCTCTCTCTCTCACACACACACACACACACACACACACACACTATTTTTTGCAGTTTCGAAAGTGACAGGGAAATGCATTGAAACTACTGAATGCAAGATGAATGCATGCAGTGGTACCTCAGGTTAAGTACTTAATTCGTTCCGGAGGTCCGTTCTTAACCTGAAAATGTTCTTAACCTGAAGCACCACTTTAGCTAATGGGGCCTCCCACTGCCGCTGTGCTGTGCTGCCGGAGCACGATTTCTGTTCTCATCCTGAAGCAAAGTTCTTAACCCGAGGTACTATTTCTGGGTTAGCGGAGTCTGTAACCTGAAGCGTATGCAACCTGAAGCGTATGTAACCCCAGGTACCACTGTACTATCATATAGCCACCCTGTAAACAAATAAGAACTGTTATGTAAAGACCAGCCTTAGTCCAACCATTGCATGAACTTTGTGCAAGGAAATTAAGATAAATACTGAATAAACAGGTCAGCTGGTGGAGCCTTGAGTTTTGCATTTGGCTGGAAAAAAGAAGGAAAGGTGCGGCGGGGGGAGCAAGTGGATATTGCTTGCTTTGGGGAAACTGTTGCTGCTTTGTAGATGAACACAATATACTTGGGTGCCTAGTCCCTCCTTTATGTTGAACATGCATATTTAGAAACAGATATCACAAAGTATCCAGTGTTCTTTCTAATGCAAAATGCCACTTCTGCTTTGCAATCCCTGGAACTTCTTAATGCTCCAGGATGTGCATACCATTCCAAATGATTAACGACGATGTTAATATGCATGCCCAACTTTTAGGTTATTTTTGATATGAAGGAGAAAGGAAAGAGGCACTGATGAATGTAGTCTTTTATGTGGCTTGAGAGTTGCGTAATACATTGGCATTAATATACCTCTTGTTTTCCAGGGTTCAGTTGCCAACAAGCTGGGTCTCGCGCACCACATGGACGTTATGATGAGCCTCACAAGTTTTGAACAAACACCGCCAACATCAGATGAAAAGGTCACTGTGACTGACACAGAATTTAATGGTGTCCCAGTCCGTTTGTATATCCCTAAAGGGCAGCCCGATTCCTTGAAGAGGGCTATGATTTATATTCATGGGGGTGGATGGTGTCTAGGATCGGCAGGTAAGCATGTGTGCTTGTTTCTGCTAATGTGGGTCTTGAGTTGAAAGTTGAAATGTCTTTGAGACTGGTGTCGTGATACAACATAGCATGGTGGCTGCTACTTGACAATGTACTTCCGGCGAGCGTCTCCTCTGCTCCAACGACAATATACCTGCAGAGGATGTATTCCGCCATCTAATTCTCTGCAAGTCTGAGAGAAGCAATTAACTTGTAGATTGCATCTAGCAGGTAAACCACATGAACTATATGGCACGCGATGAAAGAACTGAAATAATCAGATTGCATCCATTGGTTATGCAAGCAGAAGGTAGCTGTCAGGCTTCTGGGAATCCAGTCCTTCCTCCCCATGGCAGGCTGCCAGTAACCAACAGACAAGAAGCTCTTACCAATGTATTTTATTCAATGTTCACAGAGAGAGGCTTAGAATGTCGCCTCTCGGGGTAATGGCATTGCTCCAAGTAATCTCCCCACCCACTTCTCTCTCAGCTGTTTACAGAACCCTTATGGGGGCTGCTTAAGGCCATTTGGCTTTTAGCTTTCTGCTCTACCACTTTCACTGCTCACCGGGTTCTGGGAGAGGGGGCGCGTCTGAAATGCTTTCTATTGATAATGTGTCAGTCAGCTGTTCCGACTCTGCTTCTCACCCCTCCTCTTCTCCCATTACCTCCCAGCTTTGCCCCTCTTTTGTCTCAGAGCCGTGACCTTCTGCAAACCACTGTTGTAAATCTATATCATGGGTAGGCAAACTAAGGCCCAGGGGCCGGATCCTTTTGCCTTCTCAGTCTAGCCCGCAGACAGTCTGGGAATCAGTGTGTTTTTACATGAGCAGAATGTGTGCTTTTATTTAAAATGCATCTCTGGGTTATTTGTGGGGCATAGGAATTCGTTTATATTCCCCCCCAAAAAAAATAGTCTGGCCCCCCACAAGGTCTGAGGGACACTAGACCGGCCTCCTTCTGAAAAGGTTTGCTGACCCCTGATCTATACTGTCTTCCTCTTCTCTGGGAGGTGCTGGAGGAGGGGGGGTGCTCTCCACCATTCCTCCTAACCCTGACAGCAGCCGGACAAATTTATGGAGGACATACCAGTTGCATGAAGCCACAGGAAGGGAGTGTGTGATCTTGTGCTCAGGTCCTGCGAGCTGGCTTCCCCCTGTCATCTGCCCAGCCACTGTGAGAACAGGTTGCTGGACTAGATGGGCCATTGGCTTGATCTAGCAACCAATATTTCCCCTCCTCCTCCTCCTCCCTCTAGCAAGCACTTATAATGTGCTAGATCAAACCATATCCAGGGGTTCAGCCCCTGAACTCAGGGAGCAGTGTCATTCAGGGCTTCAGTGGGGATGGGGAGAAAATCACCCATACTGGGCGGATGGACCCTGCACCAGCAGAGCGTAAGTGGGCCCTAGTATTGCATTTTTAGTACATTGTTAGCATTGATATTCTGGTTAGTCTGCTGCATATTTTGGTTTAACTCTTGCTCCCCCCCCAAAAAAAAAATCTAATCTAATTTGTATAAATGAATGGCTTGCTATTTTGTAAGTTATTCTTTTTGAAAAATAAAATAAAATTCTCAGAGTGCAAATGATGTCTCTTAGGGAATATAAAGCTGCGAAGGACATGTTATATCCAAGGTGTGAGATATGAAAACTAAGATCCCATCTAGGACACCTTCTTGGACTGCAGCCAAGTCACTTGTGAATGGTTTGTTGAGTTCCTGTCTTTAGATAAAGCGGTGTGCACAGGAGTTTATTTCATTGCCAAGTGCTGAACTGCAGGGATTCACAGAAAGTGCAGAAAAAGCTACTGCCAAATGAAACAGGGAACTGTGTGTCTATTTGTTTCAGAAGAGCAATAAAATATTCTTTATTACTTACTTTGTTGCAGCCATGCAACCCTATGACCTCCTGTCGAGACGGACTTCAGAAACACTAAATGCTGTCGTCGTATCAGTCGAGTAAGGAATGGTGCTTCAGAGTGTTTATTGTGAATAACACCTGATCCTTTGCAAACAGAAAACTAAGCTTAATTGCTGCAATCTAACACATGCACTGAGCATACTAAAGCCCAGTGATTATTTATTTAATAAGCATTATAGGTTGCTTGATGGTTAAAACCCCAGGCAACCTCAAAGCAGTTTACAGTGAGCTTCAGCACAATGCAACCTGGGTTTGGACTTTGTAGCATGCAGGGAACAAAGTCCTACAGTTAAGCGTAATTGCATATCATTCACATAGCATGGGAGTAATGCATAGCCACCAGTCCCATCGACACGAATGAAGTGAGTTTCCCAGCATGCAGCAGTCAAGAGAGGAGGGAAGAAGGACATAGCTTTGCTAATTTTTCTCAGCTAGAGGCAGAGGATTGTTGGCATCTGTCTGTCTGAAGAGGCAATGAAAGAATGTGCCATCAGGGGTCAATCCAGACCATTGGAGAGTTACAGCACCTACAGAGACCGATAAGGGAGAGGCATGTTTTATTGCAGCTGGGACAGAGGAAGGCATCCAGTTACACTGGTGCAGATGCACCATGTTGTAATGGATGGATGGAGTGTGGTAAGTCTGCTGGTTAGGCAATGTAGTCCACTCCATATGTTGTAGGACTCTAACTTCCATCAGCCCCCGACAGCATAATAATAATAATAATAATAATAATAATAATAATAATAATAATTTATTATTTATACCCCGCCCATCTGGCTGAGTTTCCCCAGCCACTCTGGGCGGCTCCCAATCAGTGTTAAAAACAGTACAGCGTTACATATTAAAAACTTCCCTGAACAGGGCTGCCTTAAGATGTCTTCTGAATATCAGGTAATTATTTATCTCTTTGACATCTGATGGGAGGGCGTTCCACAGGGCGGGCGCCACTACCGAGAAGGCCCTCTGTCTGGTTCCCTGTAGCCTCACTTCTCGCAGTGAGGGAACCGCCAGAAGGCCCTCGGCGCTGGATCTCAGTGTCCGGGCTGAACGATGAGGGTGGAGACGCTCCTTCAGGTATACAGGACCGAGGCCGTTTAGGGCTTTAAAGGTCAGCACCAACACTTTGAATCGTGCTCGGAAACGTATTGGGAGCCAATGCAGGTCTCTCAGAACCGGTGTTATATGGTCCCGGCGGCCACTCCCAGTCACCAGTCTAGCTGCCGCATTCTGGATTAATTGCAATTTCCGGGTCACCTTCAAAGGTAGCCCCACGTAGAGCGCATTGCAGTAGTCCAAGCGTGAGATAACTAGAGCATGCACCACTCTGGCGAGACAGTTCGCGGGCAGGTAGGGTCTTAGCCTGCGTACCAGGTGGAGCTGGTAGACAGCTGCCCTGGACACAGAGTTAACCTGTGCCTCCATGGACAGCTGTGAGTCCAAAATGACTCCCAGGCTGCGCACCTGGTCCTTTAGGGGCACAGTTACCCCATGGTAACAGCCAACAGCCAGGGGTGATAGGAGTTGGATGTTATGTGTGAACCATGCCATACAGCAAAATGTGGGACTCTTCAAGGTCAAGTTGAAACCCAGTGTTTACATCTGCCAGATCAGTTCTTAAACTGCATTGAGTTTGTCAAATAGTTGTAATTCAGTGAGAGAGAAAGGGGGGGTTAGTTTGCCTGGTGAAGGGTAAGTTGGTGGGGTGTAATCAGTGATTCAAGTTTGCAAGTGACTGCTCCAAACTGTATGTTGAAGCAAGTCAATTTAATTGAATGGGGGGAGGAGAAGACACCTAGCATCCATGTCACAAATTAGATTTCCTTTCCTTTCACAACCAATTCTTCTTTTTGAAAACTGTCTCACAAAGGTACAGGCTGGCACCGAAACACCACTTCCCAGCTCAGTTTGAAGATGTGTTCACAGTGGCGAAGTACTTCCTGCAGAGCAGTGTCCTTGAGCAATACAACGTAGACGCAAGCAGGGTGTGCGTTGCAGGAGACAGTGCAGGAGGGAACTTAGCGGCAGCAGTGGCACAGCAGGTGAGTCATAATGTATTGGAAAGTCGGGCATTCGAAAGGAGCCGCTTTCGTCTTTGTTATGCATCTGAATCCTTGCTCTCCGAAGCCATCCTGTAACCTGCTACCTTGGGGAAACAAGCAGGGCTGACACCATCATCCGGTATCCTTAGGTAACTGGGATCCTCCAACGGGAGCTTATTCTAGGCACCCCACACTTGGTGACTGGATATGGGAAGCCACCTTTCCAAATTTCTCATGGTGCCCTAGAGCAACATGACACCAGATGCTCTGGGGCAGGAGCTTCATCACAGGCAACCTTTTGGCAGCGCATGGTGTGCAGGGCCAAAGACAAAGGTGGACCAAGCAATGGCTGCAACTCTTACCTTTGTTTACCATGCTAAACCAGGGCCAGGGCCTTTTCAGTGATGGCTCCAACCTGGTGGAATGCTCTGTCCCATGAGACCAGGGCCCTGCAGGATTTAACCTCCTTCCGTCGGGCCTGTAAGACAGAGCTATTCCGCCCGGCTTTTAATTTGAATTCAGCCTGATCTTTTATTTCCCTTCCCTCCCTTCCCTCCCCCTCCCCTTCCCTTTTATGAAGATTACCTGCTCTGAGACCCCACAGCTAATTCTCCCCTGGCCTTGTTGCTGGCCCAAGTAGGTAGCCAGGTAGCCCTGGTCTCATGGGACAGAGCATTCCACCAGGTTGGAGCCATCACTGAAAAGGCCCTAATGTTTATTAGATGGATTTCCCCTAAATTGATTTCTGAACTTTGAATTTTATTGTTATTCATGTTTTTATACTGTATTTTATGCTGCTTTTTACAATTAAGTGCTTTAAATTTCTTGTTAGCTGTCCTGAGCCAGGTTTTTGAACCAGGTAGGGCGGGGTATAAATAAAAAAATATTATTATTATTATTATTATTATTATCATTGGCGACAAGAAGCCCACCAGGTTCAATGTGATTTTCAGCATAATCCTAAACATTCCTGCTCAGAATGACATTATAGTGTTCGATAGCATTTGCTCCCTAGTGTTTAGGATATAAGCCTTACTTAGTAAGTAAACCAATTTACATGTGCTGTACTGCTAGGCATAAATAGGGACACACACACACACACTTTTGTTGAGAAGCTCAGCTCCACCTTTTCAACAATGATCAAAGCTGATTGACCTGATAAATATTATGAGAGCTCCAGACACTTCATATATCCAAATCTACACAATCAGCTGCCCTATAAACTCCACAGAGGGTTGACTCAATTTTAGTAGTGAGATCACATTTTGAAATGATTTATACAAAAACATGTCTCCTGAGTTGTTGTTGTTTTTAACCTCTCTTGAACGAAATTCTGCAGAATCTGGCATAGTGAGATACTATTTATGCATAGCCAACAAAATACAATTATCATCATCATCATCATTATTATTATTAGTTGAGGCTCCATGCCAGATTTGAGAGGAAGCTGGGCAAGGTTTCCTCTGGGTCCTGCAATGCTTCCCAATTAGCAACCCCACCCCCAGCATGGCATCCCTCACCAGCATCCATGATGGTCCATCCTACAGCAAACCTTTACAGTATGACCTAGTTCCCCTAGTAAGCCTTTGTGACAGTTCCTTGCTGAAATCAAGCGCTGGGAAAGTGCCCAGCCCAAACTAAGTGGGTATCCTAAAATGCCTTCAGGATCCAGGTGCAGTTTGCTGAGATTTTTCAGCAGATGATCAGAGGGATATTCTGGCAGACAACTTGACATGGAGGAGGTTCCCTGAATAAAGAAAAAGAATGTTGAAACACTGCCTTGTCGCCAATGATAATTGTATTTTGCTTGCTATGCATAAATAGTATCTCACTATGCCAGATTCTGCAGAATTTCGTTCAAGAGAGGTTAAAAAAAACAACAACCCAGGAGACATGTTTTTGTATAAATCATTTCAAAATGTGATCTCACTACTAAAATTGAGTCAACCCTCTGTGGAGTTTATAGGGCAGCTGATTGTGTAGATTTGGATATATGAAGTGTCTGGATCTCTCATAATATTTATCAGGTCAATCAGCTTTGATCATTGTTGAAAAGGTGGCACTGAGCTTCTCAACAAAAGTGTGTGTGTGTGTGTGTGTGTGTGTGTGTGTGTGTACCCCTATTTATGCCTAGCAGTACAGCACATGTAAATTGGTTTACTTACTAAGTAAGGCTTAAATCCTAAACACATTTACTAGGGAGCAAATGCTATCGAACACTATAATGTCATTCTGAGCAGGAATGTTTAGGATTATGCTGAAAATCACATTGAACCTGGTGGGCTTCTGACTTCTGTCTTTTAGGGTTAGGTGTAAAACAGCCTTCCGCAATCTGGTGCTGTCAGTGTGGTGTAGTGGTTAAGAGCGGTATTCTCGTAATCTGGGGAACCGGGTTCGCGTCTCCGCTCCTCCATGCAGCTGCTGGGTGACCTTGGGCCAGTCACACTTCTGAAGTCTCTCAGCCCCACTCACCTCACAGAGTGTTTGTTGTGGGGGAGGAAGGGAAAGGAGAATGTTAGCCGCTTTGAGACTCCTTAAAGGGAGTGAAAGGCGGGATATCAAATCCAAACTCTTCTTCTTCTTCTTCTGTATGTTTTGAAGTGCAACTTCTTTCTGCCCAATCCACCATCAGCAATGATGGGAGTTTTAATCCAGCATAATCTGGAGGGCACCAGGATGGGGAAGACTGATGTAGGGTTAGGGTGTGTCTTGAGCTTCTATTAGCAACTTCCACAGATACAAATGAGAGCTTGGTAAATACGAATTACTTAAAAAAGAATATTAAACACTTCAGATGATAGTGTAAATACTAGAGGTATAAATATCAGCATGTGTAATTTTCAATAAAAGAGGCAGGCAATCTGCAAGCCTATACTGTGTGTGTGTGAATATCTCCTTTTCCTTGCACTGTAAAATGTTTTCTGGTAAGGTGGTCCATCTGACATGGAGCCAGGAGGGATTCTTGTGTAATAAATGACACCCCCCCCTTTTAACTGTTACAGGTTCTACGTGATCCTGGTGTCAAAATTAAATTCAAGATCCAGGTTTTAATTTACCCTGCTCTTCAGACGATTGATCTGGACTTGCCGTCTTATCGAGACAATGCGAACATGCTAATTCTGCCTAAATCGTTAATGGTGAGATTCTGGAGTGAATACTTTACGACTGACATGTCTCTAAACAGGGCGATGGAGGCCAACCAACATGTTCCCGCAGAGCTAAGCCATTTGTTTAAATTTGCAAACTGGAGTCACTGGCTACCTGAAAGGTTTAAGAAGGGTCACGTTTATACCAAGCCAGTCTATGGCAATTCCGAGCTTGGGAAAAAATACCCAGGATTTCTGGATCCAAGAGCAGCACCACTGCTGGTCGATGAAAGCAAACTGCGTGGCTTACCCCTCACATATGTCATCACATGCCAGTATGATGTCTTGAGGGATGATGGACTCATGTATGTCTCACGACTTAGGGAGGCAGGAGTTAATGTAATACATCAACATGAGAATACTGTCCATGGGGCTGTGATGTTTAGTACAGGCCCATTAATCTTAACTGTGGGAGAGAAGATGGCAAATGACTACATTGAGTGGTTGAATAAGAACTTATAAACGAAGCCGCATCTGTGGAATGCCTTTGGCTCCGATCAGTTTGACTTGGGTTTTATACAGCAGGAAATGATCGTTTCTCTGAGTAATTTTGATATTGTACTTTGGTGGTGGTTTGGTAATTGTTATAGAATCCTTTCTTTGAACAAGACCAAGATGGTTGTTTGGGGTTTCTTTTGTTGTATCTGTCAAATTATGCTTAATTTAAAATAAAACATTGGAACAAAATGAATGGTACTTTCCAGGTGTGAAATTGCTGTTTTGGACCTATATGTTGTTCTGGCTTGCTTTTGTGAGGACTCGTGTGATTCTACCTGGCTCTGCAAAGTGACCTTTTGGCCAATGGCTCATAGTACCCTCAGGTATTTGTCTCGAGTTAAGAGAAGACTTTGGATGAATAGCAGGTTTATTACTTGAGGATAAGGTAAGGATTTTGATCAATAGCTTGAAGGGTTTGGCCCAAGTTCCATAGCTGAGATCACTTGACAGTTTCATATGAGCCCATTATATCTTTTCTTTTGGTAGACAATACCTTTCCAAATTTTTGTCTGCTCAACAGAGTTCATGGGTTCAGATGTAAACAGCAGGGATGATCTGACTTGCTGTAAAAGCAGCCTTGGGTTAAGAAGGTGTGGACCTGTTATTTTCAGTTTATCTCAGTTGCTCATTTCCCCAAACTTCCATTTGCCACATTTCCAATTCAGTTTGCATTTTTAAAAACGATCCTCAAAAAAATGCGCCAGCATTTTGGTGCACTTTTCTCCTAATATACAGTTTCTATGGAATTTTACCTACTTTACACATTTTTGAAAGCCTGTTCCCAAATATAATGCCATTTTCACAAATATATGCTTACTTCTCTAATATATACATTTCCACATATATTTTTTGTTGACTAACTGCATCACAACATTCAGAGAAGTGTGCATTTAGAAAAATACATGTGTTTTGGTTCATGTTTTGCAGAGTTCAGAATCTTGTTAAAATGCAAATCAAACAAATTTCTCCCCTATCCATGCCTGGAATGTCATGTTTTAAATGACCAGATCTTATCTCATCTAGCAATTCTCTCTCTTTTCCCCTACTGAGGGAAACTGAGATGTTTATCTTTTAAACCTATTGAGTACTGCAATGTCAAACAGAGCTGTCAAATTCTTACAGAATCACTATATGTTATATTCTTGACTCGTTTACTTGGTGTCCCTTACACAATAAACAAAATGTATGTTGACTTAAATTGTGTATTGTTGGTGTTTATCACTCTGAACATTGAGATAATTGAACTATGCTATACATTCATTTACTGTTGTGCAAATTAATGGTATTGTAGCACTCACTAAGAAAATGATTCTAATATCCTGGTAAAACACTATGTCACTTCACATTGATCAATAGGTGATGTGGGGCTTGGGACACTGGCTTTGTATGAGAGTTCAGTGAAAAAGAATGATTCGGTTTTCAAAGTTCTATGATCCCAAGGAAGAGTTAAATTTGTAACAGGAATGGGGATAAGAAGCAAAGTTGGTTAAAAGGTGTCTTGTGATTGGTTATATGTTTGTTTTGTGTTCATCAGTAAGGATGGAAGAAGATCTGTCGAGTTGTGGCTTTCTCTGTTTCTAATTTTTCCAATCTTAAATCCTGTTCTCCACTTTTTTTGCAACAGTTTTTGATTATTATTATTTTAATCTTACAAATATTCATCATCATTTGAGTGCAACTTTCTCCTAATAAACACATTTTTGTATGCCACTTTTACAAATCCACACGTGTGCAAGCACATTGTTTGGCTGGGAAGCTGCTCTGCAAAGTTCAGAAAAGTGCAAATTTGGAAGGATGGTTGCATTCTGGTTTGCATATTGTTTGGGGAAGATGTGAATTTGGTAAGTTTGCCTTCCAAAGTGAACTGAATAATAATAATAATGTCACTTTATGTTGCAATGAGTGATGCCTATGGAACCTAATATTTCCCCCCAGAAGGCTGCTGCTTGAGAAAGTAGCTGTGAAAGCACTCTATGCTTCCTAAAAAAAACCCCAAAACACCCTTTGCCCTTTTGACGACATTAGCAATGTAAACAAGATGGTTTTCAAGCAAAAAAGCTGGAGGTGTTTTTTAAATTTTATTTTACATGTGATAGACCAGCAATCAATGCTGCCCTCATAACCCATGTAGCTCAGCTCTCTTCCAGTGACCTCACTGCAAATGACTTAAATTCAGATGTGACTGGAAAACAACGGAATAAGGAGAAATTTAGGATTCTGTTCACGGCCAATTACAATTAGCCGTCTCCCAGCAAGCTTATTGCAAATCAAGCCATGCTTCGTGATGATATTCAGCACCAGCTCTTGCCCATATGTATTAGATGTTAATTTTATTAACTCTTCCCAGCTTTCCTGACCGACTTCTCCTCAGTGTTCAGCCTCTGTGTTTTGTCTGAACTACCAAGAGCTTTCACATCGTCACCAGAGAAAAGATTTTTTTCCATTCGAAACTGCCCCAGAAAGCTCCCCCAAACTTGTGAACCAATAACATTCAACTCTACTTTTAAAATAAATGTCCCCAGAAGATTATGCTTATGGGATCCCTTTAAAAAGCAGACCCCAAAATCCAAAAGGATATATATCAGAACTCGTCTCCAGAGAACAATTATAGGTTTCAGGTTAAACAACATATGGGGAAAAGGAAATAGCTGTGTATTACTGGGACGATTTTTAAAATTATATTTTCATAAAGAAATCAGAAACGTGCATCTTTCTGAAAATGGCAATATGATCAGGCAGACTGTGTGTGACAGCAAAATTGGCACTGGGCTGCAGCTGGTGCAGCAGTGTAGAACAATAAAAAAATTCCAGCTACTTGGGGAACAAAGATGCCAGAATGAAGGTTTCAGTGTTGCCATACACCCAGAATTTCCCCGGACATAGCTGGTATTCAGCCCTTGCAAACTGTCTGGGTGCATGGCAGTTCATGTTGGAAGTGTTAGTTTTTGGTGAATTTCATTAAAAAATAGCTCAAAAACTTGATTTGGGGGAGGGGGGGGCAAAAAAACCCAACAGCTTAACAACTTTCACTTTTTGAAATATGGCAACCCTAGGGCTGACACCTTTATTTTCAGACTAGCTAGAATGCCTGTGCATATTCTATGTCAGCTAAGCCATGTGGTCACTACAAACAAACACACACCATTTCCTATACAGATTGGAACAGTCTGATTGCTTTATTTGAGGAAAGCACATCGCAGTCCGTTTAAGCCACAAGTCCCATGAACCTATTGTGAATGGGTCTTTATTGATGTGATGTGCTGTAATCTTTTTAACCAGTCAGATTTGATGCTTATATAAATCCCCCCCCCCCAAATTTGTAAGGTTTCTGATGTGACAGAATTGTGTGTTGTACTTCTGCCACCTAGTGGACAATAGGGGTGCTCGCAGATGTTGCCAGTGTCCTGTCTGTTGTTACCTTTAAATGTCGTCTGTGCCTTAAGCAGCAGATTGCAGAGGCTGTGATTGGATGGTAAGCAAGGAGGTGGTCCCTCAGGTATGCCTCACTCAAGTGTTTTATAGATTTTAAGGTCAGATTTCATTCATGTTCCTTGAATTGTTCTAGAACAGGGTGAGGCAGACGGTAGCTATCTGGGTGATTTGCAATAGGTCTGCAAGGTTTCTGACTCCCAATGGCAACAACTCTATGTCACCCTTCTAAATTAGACTGCAGAGACAAAGAAAGTTTGGGTGGAGAAACTAGGGGCAGATTTGTGAGAGAGAGAACTGGGAGCCTCGTTGTGGTATTGAAAACAAATTCTTGGGTTGAACATGTATACAGAGGTACCCTATTCCTTAATGCTTAATAAAGGTAAAGGGACCCCTGACCATTAGGTCCAATTGTGACCGACTCTGGGGTTGCAGCGCTCATCTCACTTTATTGGCCGAGGGAGCCGACCTACAGCTTCCAGGTCATGTGGCCAGCATGACTAAGCCGCTTCTGGCGAACCAGAGCAGCGCACGAAAATGCCGTTTACCTTCCCGCCAGAGCGGTACCTATTTATCTACTTGCACTTTGATGTGCTTTCGAACTGCTAGGTTGGCAGGAGCAGGGACCGAACAACGGGAGCTCACCCCGTCACAGAGATTCGAACCGCCAACCTTCTGATCGGCAAGCCCTAGGCTCAGTGGTTTAACCCACAGCACCACCCGCGTCCCAGTATAATGCTTAATAGCTCTCTATTAATGCCCCCACCAGCCTACCAACCACTAGTTTGCACCTAATAGTTCTTGGAGTTTCAGTTAAAAACTCATCATGAGATTGCAGAAGTCCGAAGTCATTACACACCCAATTTGGAGCACTGAGATGTGCCAGGATGCATTCAGGAATGGGGAATAATGCGTTAGTTTTCCACATTATAATGCTAGCTGCTTCTGTCCCATTTCCTAATGCTCCTTTCAGCTGCAGTGCCTATTGAAAGACCTACATTGGCTCCCAGTACGTTTCCGAGCACAATTCAAAGTGTTGGTGTTGACCTTTAAAGACCTAAATGGCCTCGGTCCAGTATACCTGAAGGAGCGTCTCCACCCCCATTATTCTGCCCGGATGCCGAGGTGCTGAGGGCCTTCTGGCGGTTCCCTCACTGCGAGAAGCAAAGCTACAGGGAACCAGGCAGAGGGCCTTCTCGGTAGTGGCACCCGCTCTGTGGAATGCCCTCCCATCAGATGTCAAAGAGATAAACAACTACCTGACATTTAGAAAGCATCTGAAGGCAGCCCTGTTCAGGGAAGATTTTTAATGTGTGACATTTTGATGTATTTTTAATTTTTGTTGGAAGCCGCCCAGAGTGGCTGGGGAAACCCAGCCAGATGGGCAGGGTACAAATAATAAATTATAATAATAATAATAATATTACTGTTGTTGTTTTTATGGAGCTGTGGCTTTTGACGGATATGCCAGCGTATCGTGCTAAATTTCATTTACACTTGTTGTCATGCTGTTACACAACATTGGAAGTTCTTGGGCAGCATCATCACTCCCCCACCTTTTCTGCACATGAATGCTTCTTTCTCCCTATGATTCCCCCATAAAAACAGCAGGAAAAGAACTATATGCTGATAAACCACCTCAAACTTCATCACTTTGCTCCTGCAATTTTCTGGGTTTTGGGAACTGCAAACAGACACCCCCCCCCCCGCCCCTGGAATCAAATAACATGAAAACAAGTGCGAAACATTTGCTATATTCCATCAGCTTTCCAGAACTGGCTTTTACACTGTGTGAAAACTAAAATATAACATGAGTGCAGCCTCAGCTTCCACCAAAAGACAAGTTACAGGATTCTGCTATGGTTGCAGTCCTGCACAGAGAAGCTAATATCCCCAAGAGAACTAGTAAAAATATCCTTCCAAGGTGAGGCATTTGCCATGCAGGCTGTGGGCGGTTGCTTATACTACCAATCTAGCACTACTACAGAAACGATGGACATGTCAGTAAATCAAGAGGCTGTACAGAGAAGCTGTGAAGACAAGGATATTTTCAAGCTTCTGGCCAATGAAGGAACAGCAAGGTCTAGGTTTTCCTCTGCACTAGAGTATGAATAATATCTGCCCAGGAGTGCAAATTTGTATGTTTGTAGTTTGTAGCGGGTGGCGCTGTGGTCTAAACCACTGAGCCTAGGGCTTGCCGATCAGAAGGTCGGCGGTTCAAATCCCCGTGACGGGGTGAGCTCCCGTTGCTCAGTCCCTGCTCCTGCCAACTTTGATGTGTTCGAAAGCACATCAAAGTACAAGTAGATAAATAGGTACCGCTCCGGCGGGAAGGTAAACGGCGTTTCTGTGCGCTGCTCTGGTTCGCCAGAAGTAGCTTAGTCATGCTGGCCACATGACCCGGAAGCTGTACACCGGCTCCCTCAGCCAGTAAAGCGAGATGAGCGCCACAACCCCAGAGTTGTTTGTGACTGGACCTAACGATCAGGGGTCCCTTTACCTTTACCTTTAGTTAGATAAGCCTCCCTAGCACAGCAGCAGTTTTCCAGCCAGACCTCCATACTTAAAAGTGGAGCCCGAATCTTGTTTCTTACTCCTTTCAAGCCCAAATGTCCCCAAAGCTCCAATTTCCACCTTAAGCAAATTTGTAATCCTTGGGTCTTCAGATCTCCACATAAGGAGATCTCTCCATTCTTCAATCTCCAATTCAGACCAGATTTTCGACATCAAGTTCTTATTTTCCTTTGTTGCCATCATGTCAGGCCTCTG